AATTCTTTCTTTTTCATTGAACTTTCTTCTGATTGCATTTGTTCTTCATCAACAGTAACAGGAATAGGATGAGATACTAATGGTTTTTTCGAATTTAATTTTTCTTTGATATAGTTTATACGCCAAGCTCGAGCTGTAATACTAAATGTTTTCATTTTTTCACTTAATTTATTGTACCCACTCAAACTCTCAAAAGAACGATTCTTTTCATTTGGATTTAGAAAACCAGTTTTTCTTAATTAGATTCGAAACCATTGTGATTCTGTTTCATAATCTGGACGTATTCGTGGACCAGTGCTTTCATTGTCAGTATATCCAATTGTGTTAAATAATCTTTTTTGCAACTGTTGTCAAAGATGAAAAATTATCCGCAAGAATAGTAACAATTAAAACATTAAAATGAGTGCTAGCAAAAGAAAATAAGACTTCAGGCTTTTAATTTTATTATTTATTATTCTGTTATTTATCAGATTCAATCTATGAAAAATCTTATTAGTTATATATATGATATATGATTACATTCTATATATATCTTTAAAGGGCTAAATTCAATAAATAACAGAATAATAAATAATAAAATTGGAAGTCCGAAGTCTTATTTTCTTGGCAGTACTCAAATTTATTATTTTACCTTTATGAATTTCATACAATTTCTCACTGCTATATTCTAATATTTCTGAGTCGATATAGGCGAGATAAGCATTTTTAGCATTTTATTTACTTCTTCAAGTATGGTGTCCAAACCTTGATGTTGATTTGACCATCCTGATCGTGATACAGCTAAATTTAATTTAATTAGTTTCTGAATTTCAGGGTAAAGGTGCGATAGTTGCTCCTCATCAGCTACTTCGATTTCTTGATAAATAGGATATCTTCTAGCAGACCAAATTGGAGCAAATACCCTGCGAGCTGCTGATCTAAGTAAAGGTTGATTAAATCTAACACCATTACGAAAGTTTATTATAGCTTGTAAATACAAAAATATCTAAAAAAAAAAAAAAATTTAAGTATAAAAATTTTCTAAATATTTATATTATGAATTATTAATAGGATTTTATAATTTATTGCTATAGCGTTATATTGCTAGTCCCTATAAGTCACGTGGCTATAGTAATAATAAATAGGATCGGCAGTTTGTATTACATAGGATCGGCAGTTTGTATTACATAGGATCAGCAGTTTGTATTACATAGGATCGGCAGTTTATGTTCCATAGGATCGTGTCATATTATTTAATTGCTCAACATAGAGT